AGGAATCACTGTTTCGCGAATCGCTATAGCGATCGCAAAAAGTCAACGTCTAGCGAAAAAACTGTCATGCGGGGGTAACTGTCTAGCGAGGCACCACTGTATTTGCATCAGCTTTTCCATCAAAGCCAAGTTCCCTAATCGATTTCACCACTGGTTCATAAGATTCTCTCCCCCTTCTTGTACATTAAACCCAACCTAAATTGTAGAAAGTTGAATATATAGATATAATAGATGAATTTACTCCATTTTGTGAAGAGTGGAATTTCCATAATCATGGATAAAGCTGTGAAGTTAAAAGAAGAAGGAAAAGCATGCTGGGAGATAACACATTTCCGTCTCTCACCCTCCAGAACTTGACATCCCTGTTATACTGTAATGTGTTCATGTTGGGCCAATATAGTACTTCAAGGGAATGCCTGAGGAGAAAGGAGGTAAGAAAATTCTAGTATCTACCTTCCCCCCTCCTGAACCTTACATATCACTAAAACAAAATTGCCCACATTTACACACAAGGACTCAGATAAGTATTACCTTAATGTATGTTAACTTAGATGTACATGCCAATTCAGAAGTGTCACTAGATTTTTTTAGTATTTCATTACATATCTTAGTTGTTCTAAAAATGCACTAAATGATATATGAAGAACATGTATAAAGCAAAAGCAAAATAATAAACATATAGCAGGGAACAATAAAATCCAAATTCAATACAGGAAAGTATAGAAACAATAGAAAAAAACAAATGCCAGCAAAAGCAAGGGAGGCGGGGGGGGAGCCAGTCACCAACGAAGAATTGATACTATGATTATATTACCCTGGTATTCAAAAGAGCCTGGAAGCATGAAAATGTTTTGGCCTTGTGCTGAAAGGACATTGGAGTGCATGTCCCAGCAATCTCCCTCTGGAGGATATGCCGGGAGGAGGAGGCTACCAGAACACTGGGCCCGAAAACAGCCTGAGAAGCAATGATGTAGGTTAAAGAAACGAAACATGCTGTGATAGACTTATAGCACCTGTTTGTAGTGCTTCGAGATGCTTTGTTCTGTGCTAGCTGAAGTTTCCAGATTCGGTCTTCCAACACGTGACAACACATTGAAATCATCCCAACAGACTTCATAGACCCAAGTCCCAGAACCAGACAGGAGAGAAATAAAGTCTGCCCCACGGGCAGTAATAAGGCCTGTGTGCCTTCTCAGTTGGCTGTTGAAAGTGATCACCACTTGAGGGACATGCAGTCCTTTGGTCTCTCTTGCAGCCTGTTGTCTTACAACCGGGCTTGGTCTGGGCCTTCGTTCCAACAGGACTCTGATAGGCAACAAACAGCACAATGCTTGGTTCCCTACCTGACAGGAGTCCCGAACAGGAGCTTTCCTTGGAGGTGCGGCGTGTAGGTGTGTTACTATCCTGCAACATTTAGTTGCAAGCCCACTTTCCCCGTTCATGGATGTATCTGTTGAAACTGCTGCCAGGTTTGCCACTTGAGAGGTTTCTTCCTCCATCCCGTTTGCTAATTAGCTCCGAATTCATATACTGGGATTGTTTTACTGCAAAGGCTATTGGACCCAAATTTTCTCTTTCTCTGACAGGACACCTTCCATCACAACCGGTGAAAATTTAGCTATAGCCATTGTATCAATTGGTGCGCCCTGTATCCTTAATCTCATCTTCTGTGGAGTCACAGCTAGGACTTTTAACACCTATTTATTTAAAAAGCCAGATCCGCATGTCCTCAAGATAGAGATATGCCTTTTATTAGATGTATTTGGACTGTTCTGCGCACTTTGTTGTGTGTACTTTTCCTCTTGCAAAAGGCAATAAAGAAAAAAATTTAACTAGGAAGAAATATTGACTTATGTGAGGACAGGTTTAAGTATTTGGATAAAGCACGGCTACAGAGCACGCACTTTGTCCCCCAACTTCACTGGTCTTTTGGTAAACATAACTGGTTCAGGTGCCTCAGTCTATTCATGTGCAACACAAAGTCTGCCTGGCAACCAGATGAAAGACTGCAGTTACAAATGAAAGCGGGGCAAGCTATTTAGTCCAGAAGTTGTCAAACCCTGGTCCGCGGCCCAGTGCCAGCCTGTGGCCTGAGCCGGACTGGGCCGCAAAGAAGACAGACCCTCCCCCCCCACGCACTCCCCTTCCCACAGCTGTTTTACACACGTGCGTGTGTGCCAGCACCGGCGTGAGTGCTCCCCCTTTTACACACGTGCGCGTGTGCCAGCCCCGGCATGAGTGCTCCCCCACCCCTTCACACATGCGCTTGAGTGCCTGTGCAAAGGGTTGGGCAGGTGTGAAGGTGCCCCTGCACATGCATGAATGCGAAGGGTTGGGCGGGTGTGAAGGTGCCCCTGCACATGCATGAAGAAGTGGGGGAGCGCTCACGCTGGTGGGCAGGCGCTCCCCCACCGCTTCGCGCATGTGCCCCGAGAGCGCCCACGCCATAGGCTCAGCCAGTCCGCGGTCCCAAAAAGGTTGGGGACCGCTGCTCTAGGGTGAATGTCTGGCAGTTCTATTACAAGCTCCCCTCCCCAGCCTGCTCAGAACAGTAGAGGCCTTGCACCTGCGGGAGGATCCCCCCCCGCCTTCCTCGGAGGTGCAGCCAGTCCGCGGTCCCAAAAAGGTTGGGGACCGCTGATTCAGTCCATAAAACAAAGCAGCATCCAAATGGAAGGTTGTTTCCATAGTCCTAGGGATTGTTCTCTACCCTAATGAACGAGCAAGTACAAACAATGCCATGGGGAAAGAGGGATTCTCTCGTACAAACTCACTGACCTGCAATTACTTATCAAAACTGTCAACACTGACAGAACTGATAATTTTTAGTGGAGAGCATGTGTTCTGCACAGACACCAAGTAGCTAGACACAAGGGTAATTCCCGACAATCTTATCACAAAAAGCAGGAAATGCAGGTGGGTGATAATGTTCTAAGAGTAGCCCTGCCGGATCTCAGAAATGTTTTTTACTTAGCACTAGTTACCCAATCCTTTAACTGAAGATGCTGAGCCTTGGCTTGGCTTCCTTCCGTTAACAAAAACAAACAAACAAAAACTGTCCAACCTCTGATTTATGGTCCAGCCCCAACTACCTCCCTAATTTCTATCTGACACTGCATGCACTGAACATATTTTTTTGTCATAAAATAAGGAAGAGCCATGCATTTTGCTGGCATTTTCTTGAACTCAGTCAACAATGATGAACAGTTCCAGAGGGCTAATGAGAAATCTTTGGTTTTTAAACAATTAGTGTCCTGTGCTCAAACAGTTTGGTGACCCTTCCACCATGTCCAAGCCAGAAACAGTTGTCTCTGCACTTCCTAGGTCAGGGTTGGATTCATAGTTGGCAGGAGGATATTTCCACTCTATTACTCCTTAAATTCAGAGTTAGGGTATTTACTGCTTGTGTAGGAAAATGTACACTCCACCCCTCCCCCCCCAAAAAATTAAGGAAAAGCAGAAGTGTGAAAAATAGTTTATATTTATGCAAATATTTTACAAATATTTATCAACAAAGATTTAAAATCACACTGTTGTATCTTAGAAAGAGTCCAGAGTACAGTAAAGAGAATTCAACTCTACTGAAACGCAAAGTGCTTGAAGCAACATTTCTGCAGTTTTCACAAAAGTGCATAAAACGGGTTAATGCAAAAAGCACTGCATCGGTCCCTGTACATTGGAAAAAGGGACTCAGAAAGCATTAACACTTGTGGCATTGACAGTCACTAATGATCAATGACTATTCTAACAGGATCGTATAGCAACAAGATTTTTTAAAAGGTTTTTTTTAAAAAAATACTCTTTCCTAGTAAGTCATAAGATGCATAGATACTTTAAAAACAAACAAACAAGAAGACAGTGCATCAGAATGTCAGCTTTATAAAATACTGAAGGCTGTCCAGATGTGGCCCCAAACCAGCAAGTTAGTGAGATGACGCAGGCTTCTGCCGGCAGATAGTCTTTTTGAGTGCAATCCATGCTGGCTGGCTGGCGCTGCAGAAAACAAGGCTGAATGTTCACGTGACACCCCTGTGCCTTCAAATCAGGACAGAAGAGACAGAATGCACTGCTACGTAGTCCCCAGATCTGCACCAACCTGTAACTGGCATCACCATCACCAAGCACTGCTCCCCACCTGTTCAATGGGCACGATTCTCATGCGTGTCAGCACAAATATGACTCACTTTGTTGCACAGAAGAATCTACAATAAGGGGCATGCCTTTTACATTTCAATCACCTTATTATTAACAATCATTTACTAACAGGTTACGTTCAATATGTCTGAATTGTACTGTCATCAAATAAAAGAATACCAAACATGCACGCACGCACACCCCCGATCCATTCAGACTGCCTACTGTATGAACCCCACAGAAGTCCATTTGCTCTTTAGTCATCCCCTTTTATTTCAAATGGTTTTTCTACAGAGAGCCTTCCAGTGGATGATATATTTTAGATTCAGTCCCTAAACATCACAGTTGAGAGAGAGGTGTTTCTGACACCATAAGGCCACCCTGAAGTTAAATGGTTGAGATTTTCATATATTTTTTTAAAAAGAGGAAATAAAACATATTTTGTAGAGCTCTACCTCTCTTGACACATGCTTGTGTGCACGCACATGCACGCACACACAGTGTAGTTCCTCCAATTCACGCCTCCAAGCTTAAAAGTATGGATGTAAAGCTTAGTAACTATGGTGCTCTTAAACATTTCAAAAAGCCTATATTTTACAATTCTATAGAACATTTATCACTTTTGTCTGTAGCAAACGTTCCTTAAAAGTGCTATATATATATATTCTACAATACTTTGCACTATTTCTTATTCAAAGAATACAATGAAAAAACAATACATTCCAGAATAGACATTACAAAAATGAGAGCTGGTGTTTCGACTTACACACACACACACACACACACACACACACACACACACACACAGACACACACACACACACACACACACACACACACACACACACACACACACANNNCATATCAGAACTCTACTATGCATAAAGGGCATGACCCTTTGTGTTGTTCATTTGTGTAACATTTGGTCATGTGTCCCAAAGAGTCCATTTTTAAAAGAAGCAAAACATAGCGCATCTATGTTACAAGGGGGGGTGGGGAAGCTACTAGGCACGTATCGCATAATCTGTATCATGGCTTGATTATAATAATGCCCACTTCCTGCTCCCTTGGCATGACTTCTGTATGAAAAAGAATCAGAATGATTTATTTGCATTTCCAGTTCATTTTTCACTCTTCAGATCTCCCCTTAAATAAATAAGCTACGTTACTTCTATGCAGAGGAAATCCACACCTGGGCAAAGCAAAGGCAGCAGGAAGGCAGGACAGGCTGAGGGCTTGGGTGAACGGGAAGAATTTTGAAAAGCCGCTGCTTAACAATACCTTTTTCCACTTTACATGGACAGGAAGAAAGAAGAATTGGCAGCAATGGCTGAAACTCTCTAAATTGGAGCTTTGGGAAGTTCCTTTTATGGACTAAACTCCCAGAGTCTCCCAAGGCACCAAGCAACCATAGTGCCTGAGAGATTGTGGGAGCTGGAGTCCAAGAAGTAATTTTTTCCAAGCTCTATCTCTAGGCATTGGATGCATCACAAGATGCTGGTTCATCAGCAACAGACTTTTGCTCAGGAGTACAGCAAAGGAAAACATTCTTGCCCAGGGTTTTTTGGGCAAACCGAAAGTACATTATGTGGCCAATTGCAACAAAGGACACAGAAATAAGAACCAGCAGCCCGAAAGCTTCCGGGTTAGGAGCCAGGATGACCATGATGAAGTGCAGCAGATCCAGGAGGTAATTCATGGAGTTCTGGACACCATTTATGATCCCTCTTTCAGACTCTATCACATTTTCCTGGAGCAACTGTGTGACGGTCAGGTCAAAAGACCACAGGCCTATGGCATGCAAACAAAAAGAAAAGCAGTTGGAGAAACAGAAAGACACATGAAACACATGCAAGTAAAACTATCAGACCTATTCATCTGGTTTAAAAAAAAAGAAAAAGAAAGGATGTTTGCTTATCAGCTGCCAGCACAATCCTGCTCATGTTTACTTAGAAGCAAAGCTTCATGGTTTTTTTTTAATGGATTGTTTCACTCTGTTGTTTTTAAATGCGTTTTTAGTATTGATTTCATTTACTGTTTTTAATACAATACTTATTTAATTCCTTTTTAAATATTTGTATACTTGCTGTTTAGCTTTTAAATGTTGTCTTTTAATTGTTGTAAGCTGCTTTGGGTCCTTATAAGGAGAAAGGCAGGATAAAACTATTGTAGATAGATAGATAGATAGATAGATAGATAGATAGATAGATAGATAG